TCTTTGATATTTACAGTTGTTGATGGAAGTTGAAGTCTGGGAATAGGGACGATGCTGTAGCAACCTTTGGGATCTAGGTGCTGTATGTGCACCTCAAGCTGAAGTTAGCCCTGCGTGCCAGGAGACGGGGGAAAGGCAGCCAGCATTCCTGGGATGCCTGCTGTGGGCAGGTTCTGCAGTGGGTACTTTGTGTATAGTTTATGTAGTTCTGTCATACAGCAGTATGTATCACAAGCCTGGTTTTACAGGAGCAGTAATTTGAGATTACAGCTAGTAAGTGACAGATGGGGATTCAGCCCCTAATCTGCTGACTCCAGAACTCACATTCTTCATTTACACTCTATAAAACTCTAGCACGCTGTTTGGAAACCACTGCATTAGGTACTTCTCAGGAGGCAGGCAGGTTGTCCGTACCACTTTCACTCACTTGATCCTGCATGTTTTACTGGTGACTAAAGACAATTTCCTATTTTTGACATTTTCTATTTTTTATGCCAAGAGGCTTACTTCTTTACTAGTCAAAATGGAAGAGGCACTTTTTCTTTAAAACAAACAAAACCCCTCAGTTTGGAATATAATTATAGTCTTTGAGCAGATTTTTATTGAGACCTGCAGAAAATGTAAGTACAACAAAAAAAGAATCTGATAACGTTAGGTTTTGTCTTTTGCCTTCATTGATGGAGACTTATACAGCTAGACGTTTTCATCAGGTGAGGAAGGTGTTTTAGGAAGAAAAGGAATCTGGGTGAATCACAGATAGACTGCTTTTTACATGATGGCTCCTTTCTAGGTCTCTCTTGCCTGGCAATGCACCTATGAATGTTCAGACAGCTAAGGCACAATCTGAGAATGCATCAGAGAAAATTCAGTGTCTCTTAAGAGAGCAAGTTACAGGAGGTTCCAATTATAGTCAGCCATCCATAACTGTGGTTCCAGATCCATACACACAATCATCCAAAAATTGAAAGTATTCTTTAAAAATTGTGTCTGCACTAAGCATATGTGGACTTTTTTCCTTGTCATTATTCCTTAATATAGTATAAAAATTATTTGCATAGTATTTACATTGCATTAGGTATTGTACGTAGCTAGAGATCACTTAAAGTGCGTGGGAGAATGTGTGAAGCTTCTATGCAAATATAAGTGACTGGAATGTCTGGAGATTTTGGCACTGGGGGCAAGCAGTCCCCTAGGGGATGACTGGGTTGGGTTGCGGGAGGGGGGTGAGTATTTAGCCTTGTTTGACCTTCACTTGGTGACTATCTTAGAGGGATGCATTTTTTTTTCAGTATCAGAAATGGAACTCAGGACCCTGACCTTGCCAGGCAGGCGCTGTGCCACTGAGCTATATCCCCAGCTTGGTGACTATCTTAACTTTAGAGAAATGGTCATCTTTGCTAAGATGCTCCACACAAGTTGGCTGTTAAGGCCTTCCTCCTCCAAGAAGAAGCAATCTTAAGACAAACCAAAAAAGCACAGCTTATTAAAGAACTGCAAGATACCACACGCCCCAGGCGGGCAAAGTATTCCAAGACTGGAGTGCCTTTATGCGGTCAAGCTCTGCCAAGAAGTCGTTATTTTTAACGTAACTCAGAAATAATGTCTTTGGCTTCTTTTCAAAATCATCACAAATGCCAAGGCCTTGTAGACCAAACTGATGATGCATTGTTACATTTTTGCTGACTCAGCACTTTAATCTTCATGAAAACAGCCGGGAATGTTTGTGTTTGTTCCCTTGCGATCCACCCCATATCTTCTTACCAACCCCCTCCAAAAGAGAGTAATTCCTAGCAGAACCAATATCCTTCAGTAGCAAGTAGGATTAAGGCAGAATAGATCAGATAGATGAGGTGGATTCTTTGCCTAGTGGAGATCTCAAGTTGGGGTAGAGCTTAGAGCTGATTGTAGGGGTGTGCTGCTGGTTAGACGGTTTGGGGGCGCTTACAGAATCTGCGTCTGATTGGGAAGAGTTGGAACTCAGCTTTACTTTTCGTAACTCATGTTAAAGGCTAAGGACACAGGGAAAGCCATTATCTGTTTTTTCCTAGCGGACGCATCTCCTTTGTCCTTGGCACAGTCCTTGAGGTACTGAGAGTAACACGGGTCCTTCAGCTCTAAAGCAGTGACCGAGGGGCTGGGGATTTAGCTCAGCGGCAAAGCGCCTGCCTGGCAAGCGCAAGGTCATGAGTTCGGTTCCCGGTACCGGAGAAAAACAAAAAAAAAAATTTAAAAAAAATAAAAAAATAAAAAATAAAGCAGTGACCGCGCCGGGAAGATGGGTCATACTTTATAGTTGTATTTAAATTTCTCCTTCACTCAGTCTTGTCTAAGGGCTTGTTCACCTGGGGCTGTGAGTTTATAATCTTGCATTTACTTGCATGAATAGCTGAGTTTAACCCTAAATGTAACGTTAATAATTTCCACACAGGAAGTTGTGGAAAACTGTACCTCCCTGAGCAGGCCAAGTCACTGCCTGCCTCTGCGGTATCTTGGGCTTCTCAGCCCTGACACCTTGTTGTCGGTCTCCCAGAACAGGACTTCCGCCTGCTCCTAGTTTTGCTTTTTGCCTGTGTTGCTGCTTTTGCTGAAAGGTGGAAATCGTGAGTGATCACTGAGCAGCAGAATTTGAAAATGTGGTGGATGTGTGTGCACACTATTTTTCTTTAAGGGAACTGTAAATCAAAATGCCTATCAAACTTGAAACCAGATTTTCCTCTCCTCCAGAGATTTAAGTGTGTTAGTGCCTCAGTCAGTGTGTGTGTTCATTTAGCAGGTCCTAAGAGGTGATTTGCCTCGTGTGACCCAAGTCAGTTGCATATTCAACTATTATTTTCTACAATTCAAACTCTAATAGTAAAAGAAATGTAAAATTCTTACTGGGTGACATGCTGTCTCCTTTCTTAAAACTGTGGTTTACATGTGTGTCTCATTTACAGTGAGAGGAAGAGACCCAGAAGCTTTTATCTGGCAAAAGAACTGTGTCCTGACTTAATAGCAATATTCAATTAGATGATAATTTCTATTAAAAAGCACTCCAGAAGGGAAAAGAAAGATAAGAAAAATAGGCTCTAGTTGATGTCCTACAAGTAGCCTTTGGAGGGCACAGCAGACTTACTGGCATTAAAAATGCTGACTTAATGCTGGGCAAATCTCCGTACTCAGAACATGATAATCCACTCATGGATGAAGCTATAAAAATATGAATTTTAAAAACTGGTACTCACGATTGGTTCAGCTTGCTTCTCACAGAAGCTGATTCTGCTCATTCTGAAAATACCCCTCTCTCTCTATCACACTTGCATGACAAAAATCTGCACCCTGACTGAACCTAGCTCTTCGCTTGCCTGGCACGTAGACCCCACAGCTGTGTGTGACTGCTGCTTGGAATTCGGACTGTCAGGGCTTGTAGGGCTGTGTGGTGCTTGTGCCGCAGTCCCAGCACTGCCTCTCCTCCTTGCTGTCAGTTGATGCCTTACTCTCCTTCGCTGCGCGGACAGAAGCAGGTAGCATAGAATGTCTGCTAGCTTCCACCTTGATGTCTACTTCCTACAGCACCTGAGCTGTTGTCAATTTCCCTGCAGATGAAGCTCTGGGCTCCTGCCTGAGATCTAAAGTTAGACGGGTTCCAGGATTCAGTCCTTACAGAGCGTACCTTCTGTGTGTGCACCATCACCTCTGATCTCATCCAGCTTTGTGACTTTGAATACTGCGTACAGAGACACGACTCCGGCGCGTTCCTCTTTCCTGAACTTCAGACTCATGTGTCTAGCTGACTATACAGGTTCTGTCCTTGGTTACAGAATTGAGCACGCCACAAACCAAGATAATTCCCCTATGAATGTTTCTCCTTCAGTCTTCCCTGTTAGTTAATGAAAACAGTGTCCTTCTAGTTGGAGGCCCAACGCCTAAGAATCATTTAACTCTCACCATTTTTTTTTCTTTTTTGGTACCAGGAATGGAACTCAGGACCTCGCGCTTGCCAGGCAGGCGCTGTACTGCTGAGCTATACGCCTGGCAACGCTACCATTTTCTGATAGCCGTATCTAACCCATGAGCAACTACTGTTGGTCTCCCTGAATCCAAACACCTCTCACCACGTCCACTGTTACTTCTTCAGCCAGCCCACCACCAGGCCTTGCCTACATTTCTGCACTACTTTCCTGGCCTTCCTGCTCCTTCCTTTATCTCGCTGCAGTCTGTTCTCAGCTCAGCAGCCAGAGTGATTCTGTGTGAGCCAGGTCGTGTCACCCTGCTAAAAACCCAAGAGGCAAAAGACAAAGGAAGAGACCAGGCCCTTGTAACGGCCTCCAGGGCCTTCCATGAACAATACCCTCCCCTTGCCCTCCTCCGATCTCACCCCAGCACCGTCCTCCTGCTCACTCTGCTCTGCCACCCTGCGCTCACTGCCATTTCTCAAACCCGTCAGCCACGCTGCCGCCGTAGTTTCCGCCGCCTGAAATTCTCTTCCCCTCTGGGGTCACGACTCCCTCTCAATTCCCTCTTCGATGTCACCTCTGCTCGACTTAGCCTTCCTTCAGACTATAAGATGGTCATTCGGTCAAGCCCCTGCGTTCTCTTTTCCTACCTTTTCTCCATTGCACCTACCGGCATTTGCTACATGTTCATTAGTTCCCTGTCTTTCTGATCTTTTTTCTTTAGAATTAATCTCAGTACGGGCAGCAACCTTACCATTACTGTTCACTGTTACATCCTTACTCTGTAATACCTGGCACTTGGATAGTTATTAAAGGAATGAAATGCAATAAAAACTTCCATGGAGCTAGAAATGCACATTAGTTTACTCTGAGAACACTGCACTGTCTGCGTCCGGTTCACTTCCGTGTTCCTTACCCACTGCTTCACACTGCTGAGCTGGACCAAGTAGTAGTGTAAAGACTGGCTTGTCTTTTCCCACATCACATAAGAGGCGCCAAGGAAAGCCAAGTCCCAGATGGGCCTCAGTGAGGCGTCGATGTGCCCACGGCTGTCTGAGAGCGAAGGAAGGAAGCATGTTTGAGTTTAGGCACTTTTTGAGGCTAAATTTTAGAAGCTCCAGAAATGAAAAAGGTCTAAATTTAGTCATAAATTTAAACAGTAAGACCTTGAGCTAGACATGTGACTTACTCATATCTGTTTCTATGGAGACTATCTTTCAACTCGCCATACTGAGAAAATCTACAAAACCATGTAAAGGCTATGCTGCGCTGTACACAAAGCGAGAGTACAAGGATACTAAAACTCCATCTGAAGTTCTACTGAGAAGCGTTACTACTTAGGTTAAAAAGTTGATTAGGGATCTCCATATTACTATACCTGCTGGTTTGAAACGAGAGTCATGATCTTTGCTTCCTAATCTGTCAAATATCTTTGTCCTGATTTTTGGCTTTAAAGCTAACTAGTGTATTGGCACCATCTCTTTCTCGTGTCACGAACACCTGAAGAAATCAGGTGGGTTTTCTCTGATAGCATTGTTTGCGGACTTGACGTCTTTTTAGTTCAAAATACTACTTAATATCAGAATACCAAAAGCAGGGATACAATGATAATTTACTTTGTATGACGTTTAGGAATTCAGTTTTTAGTAATTTATAAGTGCTCACGGATCATTTTTTGCAACTCGGTGGAGATAGTCATAGCCTATCAAGGATCAGTAATTCCCAATACACGAGGAGTACTAACAAGCTTATTAGGAAACTATTCTTGATAAAGTAATTTTCAGCATAAATTCTATTTATTAGTGGAACTTGACTTGGCTAGAAATACAGCTGATCCAGTCCTTAGGATTGGAGGGCGCAGACAGTTGAAGGAGAACAGGCCAAGGGGGTTCTTTAGGCTGGAGAGGTGTGGCAGGCTTTAAAGAGGTGAGATTTTGCTGGGCCTTGAATTCCTGCTGTGTACGCGGGTGGAGGGGTAGAAGCACAAGTGAGAGTGAGCCCAGCAAGACAGGAGGGCCCCGAGCACGGGCCGTCACAGTGACTGGTCCGGGGGAAGTACGCTGGCACCATGCTGTGAATGGCCTCGCATGCGGCGCCGTGGACTCTGATTCAGTAGGTGAGAGTGGGAACACAGGCTGAGCTCCTGCGCTCCAGGAGACTGAAAACGAACAGAGCCGGTAGGAGACAACGCAACAGGCCAGGAAGGCGTACCACAGGCGTGGAGGGTGGGCTCGGTGGGTTGAAGAAGACAGGCTGGCTCGAAATGCTCTGTGAAGGTGGGATTGATAAGAAATGGCGGATCATTGAAGGAGATGGGTTTATAGTGATCAAAATTTTTAGCTAAACTAGGAAAAGAGTAATAGTATGAAATAAGTAAAGGTCAAAATACGCAAGCCTTTTGGGTGAGTGTGGTAGTAGGTGTATGAAAGACAGTGTCAGAAAGCCACAGGAGTGCACGATGTAAACCACTACAGGCAATGCAGAAGGGGCTCGGTGGTGGGGGCGGTCTGCGGCGAGCCAAGACGCAGCAGGTTCACTTATGCGTGTGGTGCGGAAGCCAGGAGAGAGGAGGCGGGGAAGGCGCAGGGTGTACAGCACGCACGTCAGAAGAGCAGAGCAGTGAGCAAGCGGGCGGGAGACGATTGTGTGATGCAGCTGGTCAGCAAGACCCCTGACTGGGACCATCTGCGTAGGGCAAGCCAAGGAACTGGGAGAAGTCTTCAGAAATGAGAAGGAAATCGATGGGGCAAAATCATGGAAGAAGTCATAGAAACTTGAATGAAGGGCATTTAAATAAAAGGAGCCTGAGAATAAAGGAGTTGGGGAAGACACAGAATTAGTGAGGTAAAAAAAGTTGCAGGAGCACACGTCTCAGTCTCAGTGAAGCAGCGGACAAAGCATCTCTTAGGAGGGTGTGAGTGGCCTGGGTGTGCGCTGAACGCGAGAAGGAAAGGCTTCCGCACAGCTCCAAGCGGAGTGCCGTGCGACCTCAGAAATGAACGCGGAGCGGCAAGGAGGACCCAGCACTTGAAGAGAGCTCTTAGGAAAAGAAGCTGGGAGGATAAAGCGGAAAGTTGCTAGTTCTCCTGCTCGCACTGTCATCAGTCCCTGGTACATGGTTCCTGTAAGGTTTTTGGTCCCGTGTTTCCTGCTAATTAACACCCAGGTGCCTTCACACTTCAGGACTGGACACTGTAGTACTCGTATCTTGTCTATGAGCTCTTTACCTGACTGGGCCTTTTCCCTGCCAGCATATGTTATTAGCAGGGAGCTGTGACTGGTTTTAAACATGTTATTACAGAAAGTATGTCTCAGACTTCTACTTTCTGACAACAGTATCAGTATTTTACGAATGAATCTATCATTTCTCCCTCATGCGAACAACTGCACCATTAAGATTTCAGAACATGAGGTAATGCAAGACTCTGAGGAGAACATAGCAAGGGTTTCCATCATCCTTGTCTTCACTCATTGAAAACTTCTGCAGTTCACCATCATGAATTTCACCTTACAGAGCTGCTACAAGTCTAGATTTGTGCTATCCAAACCCATTACCTTGGAAGGTAAATGACTTACACTATATACCGTGAATAGTGGAGACCTCTGAAAAGATGAGTGATCAACTTTAGCTGATCATTCACAGCTCCTGGTCTTTTCCTCTGTATGTAGAAAACTGGGGTCATTTATGGGAATTTATAAATTCAGTACAAGTGACATTTTTACTCACTAAAAACAAGATGACTAATTTTTAAAGGGAAAAACTATGGAAGAAGAACTAAATATTCTCAACTTTCAACTTAGCAATTATACTACAATAGTCTAATGCCTTGATTGATCGAAGACTAAATAGAATACGCTAAGATTTGCACTGGCTACTCCGCAGATAGCTCCATGGCTTTGATTCACCTTATGTAGTATCAAATCTTCTTAATTTGAAGTAGTTTTCCATACACAGACTGTAAACAACATGAAGTGTCCCTGTTGTATTTACAATGAGAACGGAGCCTGTGAGTTTTGTTCATGAATGGTACCTCTATTAAGATTTTTTTGAAGGTTCATAGCAATCAAATTGCTACAGAATGATCCTCGTGAGAACATAGGATGTATTAACAAGATCCTGTGGCAAATATTAAAAGTAAATGTCCTCTGCAATCTGGATGTGTGTTTGGAGGAGACTCGATAAGCCCTATTTCCCTAACTAAAGGGAAAAAAATCCCTAAATAACTAGATTCCAAGTATTAGTACTGCTTTAAATAAGTGAGCTAATGACTAAGTGTATAAACACATCCTACTGCTCCTCGTAATTCTTTGGCACTGGGTTTGGTCTGAGCAGAGAACTATGCTGTGAGAATCATTCTCATAGCTGTGAGAGAAATTAAATTTCTGAATTTTAGAAATACAGGAGGCCTTATTTCCACCTCTGGGTTTTTAAAAACATTTACTGTATCAGTAAATTGATGGGGACCAGACTCAGGATTGGAGCCGGCAGGTCCTCCAGTGTTGACATAGGTTTGTCGTGGTCTCGGGCGGTAGCTGGACAAATGAGCAAATTAGGAGAGCATGTGGTCAGATGTCAGGCTTAATTCCCAAGCTGTGCAAGTCCAGAGATTGCTTTTGTGGTTTTGCAAATTGGATTTGCCAGTAAGTGCCGAGTCCCAACAGCTGCCCGCAGCCTGTGGAGTGCCAGGGCCAGTGAGCTGCGCTGCACTTCAGCTGAGTCACTGGGAGGGCGGGGCCTCTCTATTAGAGATGGCACCACGGCCCATTAGCTACTGACCTGAAATCAGGTAAACACGACTCCGCTGCAGCACCCAGCATGGTGAGACAGCCGCTCGGCCGGCCCTGGTATGTAGGGCACAGCAGAGGCCAGGAGTATGTCTCGTCATCTGAGGTTCCCAAGGCTACCACCAAAGCTCTCTAGACGTGTCACTTCAGGCTCTGGAACTGACCTGAAAACTATACCCTACTATGCGTGCCAGTGGCAAAGACCACCCCACCTTTCACTCGGAGGTTCAGCTCTTGTTCTGGGATGGGAAATGGGGAGATAAAGAGACCCCGGTAGCTTTTGGTGGAGATACTAAATTGTACTAGAGATGAAGACCAGAAAAAATATTTCCGAGTTTTCTTTAAATAATGAGGTACACCACACTCTGTCAGTGTTGTTTTTTTTTTTTTTTTTTTTTGTGTGTGTGTGTGTACTGGGAATCGAACTCATGACCTCATGCTTGCCAGACAGGCCCTGTGCTGCTGAGCTAAATCCCCGGCCCTACCACAATCTATAGCTGAATTATCAGGTGCCCCTTCAGGCATAAATATTTATTCTCTGTAAGATTTAGTAATCCCCAAATAAAGAAATTCCACACACTGGTCATACCAGGTATGCTGGCTGCATCCAAGGGGACCTTCAGTTGCTTCATTCGCTTGTAGAGCAGCTGATCCTCTTCCTCTCTTTTCTTTTTCTCGATGAGCCTTGTACAGGTGACATTAACGGCCGGCCTGGGTTTCTGATTCTTGAAGAACACGTGGGCAGAGCATTTCCCCAAACGCTGCTCACCTTCCTTAAGTAAAGATTTTGGGATTAAATAGGATGGGTCCCACCCACAGGCGCACACACACACACACACACACACACACACACAAACCCCAGGGCGCACGAACACAAGATTGTGACGGTGTCACTGTGTGTGGCAGTTGCTCTATCATTACTATAGCTTTCGCTTTACAGGAAGTGATTTTTGTGCTCACTTCCGAAGGTAAAGTCCTTTACTCGTCATTCAGCCTCCTGCGGCTGTGCCTTTGTGTATCATTGGTATTTGAGTTCTGTGTGGCTTCCAGCTCCGAGAGGGAGGGTACTTCACTCGCTACTGCGGACCAGCATAACGCTTGCTTGAATGTTAAGGGAACTAAAACGAAAAGATGAAGCTGGCTCCTACTCACATCTGTAACACATTTCTGCTGTCCGATGAATTCTATCCTCTGAGTCCAGTAAGTAACTGAGATATTGAAGTTCAAAGAGGCGCCTTCCCCGTGGCACACAGCTAGTAAGTGGTAAGCCAAGATTCGAGCTCACTGAGGTCTGCGCCCAGCTGTTAAGCCCTGACTAACTCAGCTTCCCTGCTCTGAGACCAGGTCCAGCAGCGGAAGTGCAGGTCACCCAAATGGGGTCCATGCACCAACCTGCAAGATGCTTGTCTGTACTCGTGTTTAAGTGAAGATGAATTTTGAATTCCGGGGTCACCATCACGTATTCCCAGTGCAGGGGCAGCTTCAACTAAACACCACGTGTATGACTCACGTCTAGGACAGTGGTTCTTTCCCTTTTGATCATAGATTTCTTCACCGAACAAGAAAAGCCAGGGAATTTATTCCTAGAAAAATGCCCTTGTTTGTCCCACCAACTAGCGGTCTTGAATGTGAAGGGGTTCACAGGCCACTGCTCATGGCCCGGTCCAAACCCAGCCTGGGCCCCTACTTAGTGTTTCCTGTTAGAATGTGACTGGCTTATTGTTCCTATAAGTATCGCCAGTTGAGACAATAACTTTTCTTTGCACTCTGGTAGTTGTTTAAATGGGTGAAGTCCCAATTAAAACCATCAGAAATGAAAAGAAAATGCCCAAGGGGAAACAAATTGTAACCACGGTTGGATCTGCTTAATAAGCCTTTCTCTGTGACGAACTCCGAAAACTGAAGCAGGTTTTCCAGTGGGGAACTTTCCAGCTGTAAGTGCCAGTTTGAGTGAATGGGAAATTCAGGGGTACATTAGGACACTCATTTTGGAGACAAAACAGAAAAAAGGTGAAAGGAGTTTCCGGGAAGAGGCACGTCCAAGGCAGAAGACAGGGCTCTCCATCCTCTTTGAGGCCAGTCATTTCCCAGGCAGACAGAAAGAAGCGGGTGTGCTGTCACGCTTTTGTCTTGCGTTCCACCCCAGCCCCAACACCTCCACAGAAACGGAGCAGCTGCCCGAAGGTAAAAGAACCCTCCCTCACCTCCTGCCGTGGGGCACTTCAGCCAGCCAGCTGTGCTCTTAAAGTACCTACAGGAGCACATCCAGAGGAACATATTGTTGGTCAAAATAAGCTGGTAATTATTTTCCCTTTAGCTTTAATGCTTTTTCGGTTTGCAACACCAAAAAGCAAAGACATCTTATTCTTTAAGAAAGTCTTAACTCTTAGCTGAAGACACCCAGGCAGAGCTCACTGTTGTCACGCTAGCACTTGCGTCTGTGTGCTGGAAAGCATTCTTCCAGAAGAATGGGCTGGGTATGGATACCTCCCTTTGCCCCTAAAGCTCTGCCTCCCTGAGACGCTTTGATGCAGGACGCTGCCCGCTCTTCCCAGGCTGCCTGCGTTCTGAGCACTGAGAAAATCTGTGTTGGTCTCGCCACGCCTGCTCCGGGTGTAACCTCCCAGCCTCGCCCAGCATTTGGAAGTTCATTTGGCTTTAATTTCCACACATGTTTTCTGTTTACTCTCTGCTTGAAAACAAGAGTAAACGTGGCAGAACATGGTGGGAACCGCAGCGAGGCGAGTAATGCCTGCAGCAGGCACAGCACGGCCCTGGGTTTGCAGATGCCTCCGTCTGTGTCAGCTCGTGGGACCGGCCTCAGCAAGGCCAGCTCACCAGAAATGTCGCCGGCTGACAGGAAAGAACAAGCTGGCATTTGAGAGTGAGTCACTCTAAGAACTCAGGGGTGCTAGGAAGGATACAAAGGGAGCTGTGAAACTTCCTCCCAGGGATCCCAAGGGGAAGAGACAACCGTGATGGTGGTGGATTTAAATGCAACTGCGAAAAGCTGTGAAGTTGAAGTAGTTGAATCTTGATTTTCTGCCTGCTTTGTTTTCTAGTTCTTAGAACAAACAGAAAACAAAGCAGGAAAATTAGAATGAGACCTTCAGGCTTTATGAAGGTTCTCACTTTTGTATAATAAATTGATTCACAGGACTTGCTAAGAGGCTCCTTCCCTAATTGTTGTGGCTTACCTCCTGGTTGTAGCGTTCTGTGCTAAAGACCACGTCAACTTTACATCCCCTTTTTGGGTCAACCTGAAATATAAAAACTGAATCTTAGTATTGCGGAGACTCCATTAATCACTGACATCTTCATGTAAGCATCACACTCTAGGACAACATGGCAGGCCAGTCGTAGCTGTTGCAGTTTCACGGGAATGAAAGTGGGGATTTTTTAGGAGAAAAGGTCTCCAATTTGGGTTTCATCATGGCATTCTGCTTGCTGGGCTGACTCCTACTCCGAAGGCAGGCTCAGAAAAGAATGTAGTTGTATCCAGGCTGAAGTCCAGTCTGTCAGTGCTCAGGGGTGTGCAGGGACCTGGAATGAATTCCTTCATTCCCTTACTATTCAGGGCTTTCTCCGGAGCTGACCTGGGGGCTGGTGCTACATCCGTGAGTAAGACAGACTAGGGCTCTCCTTTTCCCACGGGGCGGGGGCGCTGAACAAAGGTACTGGGATGACGTCATCTCTAAGCTGAGCTCCGAAGGCCAGGAACAAAGTGAAAGAAGGAGGGAGGGAGGGAGGTAGAGAAGGAGGGAGGGAGGGAGGAGCAAGGTAGCCATACCAAGATCTGAGGTGGAGATGGAGCTAAAGGCAAAGCAGCCATGAGGTAGAACTTCCATACAGGTCTCGGAAAATTTCATTTGTTCTGAAGAAGACTTGGAACTTAATTCCAAAATTTGTGAGAGCCACGCTGAATAATTACAGAATGTAAGTTGTTGTAAAGAGGAAGGCTAAGGCAGAAACAGGGCTCAGGATGGTATCTGGGCAGCCCAAAAGTTAATGTACTTCACTATTTTTATTATCAAAATCTATAGGCCTGAGGGAGGGGAGGAACTGCTGCAAACCAGAGTCTGGGCCAAGTTCAAGGACAAAGGACAGGGGACAGTGATAATGTGGACACCCATGAAAGTTTGTGTGTTACGCAGCTTCCCTCACTGCCATATAGCTAAGATAAACAGCTTGAAAGGAGGGGAAGTTTGTTTTGGCTCAGGTTTCAGACATTTCAGGCCATGGTCGCTTGGCCCTGTTGCCTTTGGGCCTGTGGGAGGCAGTGCCTCAGGGAGGGAGCACATGGTGAAGGAGTCTTTTCCCTTCTTGGCAGCTGGGAAGCAGAGAGAGGGGGAGGGGCCGGGGTTCCAGCATCTCTGTCAAGAGCACACTGCAGTACCTAACTTCCTCCCCCGGGGCTCCACCTCGTAAAGGTCCAACCACCTCCCAACACTACCGCAGAAAGGGGACCAACCCCTCCACACACGAGCCTCTGGAGGGTATTTAAGATCCAAACGATCACAAAAAGATGTTTAAAAGTGGTTTGCTTCTGTAACGCTAGATAAAAAATGAACAAAGATATAAATAAATGAGGCATGTATGCTAGTGGCTGAACAAGGGTCCCAGAGTTCTCTTTCAGAAGATTTTTTTTTTCTTTCTTTTTTTTTTGTCTTTTTGAGACAGGGTTTCACAATTCCAGAAGATTCTTAAAGTGCAGTGTCTTCACTGCCTGCCCCCATCAGAGAAGCACAGAATAGCAGCTCTTTGCCTTTGACACCCCTGGCAGCACTAGTCCCACCAACTACGAATTCTCAAGAGGAGGCAAAAGTGCTGCTTGCCCACAGGTCTTAGGCCTTGAGACTCTGTCTGGCCACCCATGTGCACTGGAGGACCTGGCCGTGGGCTCTGCATGCTCCGGGAGGCTCCTGAGTGTGGCCTCCCACGTGGGAGTCGGGTGTCCCGATGGGTGTGGGGTGGGAGGCTGGGGAGGCCATTCAAGAGAACTGCAGGAAGCTGAGATGGGTGGGTTCAGTCTCTGGTGTGCAGGTACCCGGGGATACACAGGCAGGGTCAGCAGAGGAGTGGTGGGAGCTGCGGAAATGGGTACCAGCCTCCAGGGCACGGGAAGAATCCTGGGGAACACCAGCCCTCACGTCAGCGAGAGACTGGGCAGTCTTACTTGTGATACAAAAGCATTCACAAAAGCCTTCCTTATTCTTCATGTAACTGCATATTTTCTTTTCTTTCTTTTTCTTGTACTGGGAATCGAACTCACGACCTCACGCTTAGCCAGGCAGGCACTGTGCCACCGAGCTATCTCCCCAGCCCTATTGTGCGTATTTTCAATAGTGGACTTAAGATTTTGTTTGGGATCAGCTATTTGAAAACACATGGAGACAAACTGAGGTCCCGGCAACTACTCTTTGTAGGAAAAGAAACAGAACCTGACTAACCAGGGTTCTGAGGTGAGTCAGTATGAAGTCTGTCCTTTGAAGTTATTTTCTTGGCTGATTTGATTTCCTTATTTCATTTTAACACGGCACTCTTAAGAGTATCCACATTTCATCCGAAATAGGCTTTTTATATTTTTCATTGTACTTCCTCACATATTAATACACAAGCCTTTTATCTCCCCCAAAGGCCTCTCTCCTCCCTCTTCCTCTGAGTCACAAGTTCCTGTGATGCTACTTTGCTGCGGCTGGTGAGATAAGCTGCTCCGGCGTGGGGCCTGCGCGCACCAGTGCCACCTTCAGCTGGGCATGGTGTCTCACACTCCTGAGCTTTTAGGACTGTGTTGAACTTCATCATTGATTCAAAAGATTCTGTTATGGGGCTGGGGATTTAGCTCAGCGGCAAAGCGCCTGCCTGGCAAGCTCAAGGTCGTGAGTTCGATTCCCGGTACCAGAACAAAAGACAAAAAAAAAAAAAAAAAAAAAAAAAAACCCAAAAGATTCGGTTATAAGGAGTTATTTCCTGTTCAACAGCATCCACTCCAGGATTTATTGAGTGTCTACTATATCTCAAGCACCACACTAGGTGCAGGAAATACAGTGAGCAAAACAATTGTAGCGTCTGTCCCCTAGCGCTCTAGGGAGAAGGACATTCATAGGTCAGAGGGTTACTTGATTATGATTAATCTATGAGCTGTAAAAGTGTCACTAGAAAAGTTATCGAGTGTAGAGATCAGGGAAGTCACATCTTGGCTGAACTCCTGAAGATTAAGAAGGAAAGAGGTAGGAAGGGAAACCAGTAAATATTCCACAGAGAAGGAGTGGGGCTGGGGGCTCTGAGGAGTAGTCAGTGAGCTCAGAGAGCAGAGACTGGAACAGCAGTCAGGGATAGGCTGATCAGGTGGGCCAGGGATTCCATCCTGAGGGAAAGAAGATGGGGCCACTTGCTGGTGTGGATAGGTGCCGCTGGAGGCAGAGGTGTCCAGGGGGAGCACAAGGAGAGCAGGAGGTTAGTGGAGGTGGGGAGGTTAGCAGCGACCTGAGCCGAATGGGCACCGTGCAAATGGAGAGAAGTATGTGGTGCAGAGATGCCAGTCCCATTAGAAGGTAAAAACATGAAGTTACGTATAGTCCTGCGCGGTACAGCACAGCAACGCTGTGGTCAACAATGGATCACACGCGATGTGGCACAGATCACAATGGAACTCAGAAATTATGGTCACTCACAGACATAGCTGTCACAATAGCTTACTCAGGTGTCTGTCGTGACACTGGTATAAACAGACCTACTGCACTACTGTGTATGCAAAGCCGTAACACACACGTGTAGTACATAATACTTGATAGTCAATGACTATTACCAGTTATGTATTCACTACACACATCATTATTTTACAGTGCATTCTTTCTCCTTCAAAACATGTTTACTTTAAAATAGCATCCTATGTCACAATCACAGCCTCACACACCTCAGGCATCTCAAGTGCATCAAAAGGCCACACTAAATGACTGACCTACTACCTGTACCATCTAGAAGAACAGTATGTTCACACAGTGATGAAACTGCCTGACAACCCACGACTCAAAACTTATCCTCATTGTTAAGTGGTGCACGATTATAATTCCAGACCAGAAAAAAGTCACTGAAATACAGCATTTCATGTTTCTATCAAGACAACATCATTACCATCAACGGTCATTTAAAAGATGCTTGTGTTGAAGAAGAAGGAGAAGGAGGAGGAGAAAGAGGATGAGAAAGAGGAGGAGAAGGAAAAGGAGAAGGAGGAGTAGGACGACGAGGAGGAGGAGGAGAACGAGAAGAAGAAGAAAAACAATAACAACAGCAGCAGCAGCAGCAGCAACAACAGACATCCTCCCCGGTCAAGGCTGAGTCTCGTTCTAAGCACTTTACATGTATTGAGTATACTTACAAAGCTCTCAAGACTTGTTCGAACTCATTAGAAATTAGAGAAATGCAAATTAAAGAAGCACTGGACAACTGTCAGACCGGCGATTAATTACCAAGTGGACAAGCCAATTGCCAGCCAGGATTTGGGCATCAAAACTGCCGTTACCTGGCTGGTGGGGAATAGCTTGGTACAGCTCCTGTGGTCTGTGTAGGTGATCAAACCAAGTGAACACAGACATGCTTGTGACCTAGAAGTCTTGCTCGGGGTTTGTGTCCCATGAAGTTGCAATGCAGGTCTGTCAGGGACTGACTCACGAGGAGGCCATGGGCCACTGTGTGGTGCTGGGGGTTGGAAGCGGTGCAGTGTGCATCCTGGTAAAATGGGATGTCAATCATGGAGCACCACACAAAAGGCAGAGGGAGAGATCAGCTGTATATGCAGCAATGTGTGAAAACAGAAACAACACGTATTGACAATGCCACTGACAAAATTTACAAAGTAAAGATACGCACACAAGCCAACACTTTCACGGGAGTATTTACACGCAGGAGAATATGCAGCGCACATTTCATAGTGGTTGCCAGCGGTGAGGAGGGCTGGGTGGGAATGAGCAGCAAAGGGAATACACACACACACCCAGGAAAGACAGGAGCCTCCGCTCACTGAAGGCGACAATGAACTTCGAACTGAGGCCCTCAGCCATTGGCATATGACACCAACAAGCTCATGCAGATCTTTAAAAATATATGAAGCCATTTAAAAAATGTTAATCCGATCCAAGATAACATGGTACGGATGCCCCACCGCGTAGGGTAACTTTGTTTTCCCACTGTGAGTGCGTTGGTGGTAAACTGCTCACCACACATGGCTTTGAGGCTAGAAGTTTGGCTCCCAAGCCCGAGAAGCCAAGGGCTCACAGCTAGAGCCCTCTTGTTGTGGCCAGGAGGCCTTCAACCGTGACTTGCACAACAGGTTGCTTACAGCGAGTCCATTAAATCGAAGCTTTTTTTTTTTGCGGTACGGGGGATCGAACTCACAACCTTGCGCTTGCCAGGCAGGCACTTATGCCACTGAGCTATATCCCGGGCCTCCAAGCCATCTTTTTAGAGGCATTTTTGAAGACTGAATCCAACCGTGGGCAAGGGCGAGAAAGAGTTCTGACCTTCCCAAGGCAGAGTAGCCTGCAGCTCAGACCTCAGCATTTTAATGCCTTACACCCCGCCCTGAGCCAAACTGTCCACGTGCAACACAGATGAGGAAACTGCACCCCCTTCTTAAAACACAGAGAGGCGGAGCTGTTCTAATACACTCCAGATTAATGCTCTTTACTAAAGCAAAAAATCAACAAAG